TCAAACCTGGTGCTATGATTTTTGATATTTGTCTGGAAAGAGAAGAATGTGGTAGACTGTCAGTAGAAGAGAGATGTGAGGTCAAGCTAATGGAAAAGATAAAATTGAGATAGTCTGAATATATTAGGAAAAGATCATCAATATTTTAATGTTTCTAAGGCAGTAGAAACTGAACCAATGTTAAGAAAAGGCTCTCTTATTTTGAAAGAAAACAGATTTTAGAAGTTCAAAGATGCTAATTCTCAATGAATGGCTTTTATTTTCTCCTTAACATAGCAGTTACCTGCTGAGACAGAAAAGTAAAGATTTGAAAAGTAAGTTTTTCAATAATTACTGTACAAAGAAGCATTTAAACATTTAAAATTAAGGGGAAGTATAATACTGTTCTGAAGGCCCATTTAAATTTTGTAATAATGAATGTATAGTAGAATCGACCTGCTTTTCTATGTAATTTATCCCTAGCAATATTCAGCCATTCAGGAAAAGGTATTAATTCTTTCATGTTGGGTTAAGTTCTACCCAACAGACACCAGGAGAAAGTAATGAGACAGTTGAAGATACTGCCCCACCCACCCACACACACACACACACAAAGTATTGAGTACTGTATGATGGCACTTGCCTACAATCCCAGTACCTGACAGGCTGAAGCAGGAGGATCACCATGAGTTAGGGCAGGCCTGGGCTACGCAGTGAGTTTAAGACCAGCCTCAACTACACAGCAAGACCTTGTCTCAAATACCTACCCCCACTCCCAAAAAAGTATTGATATTGATAAAGAATATGAAATCTAAACTAGGTAAACAAAATGATGAAAGAAGACTACTGATGCACTAGGAGAAAGCAGAAGAATCTACAAGGAATGATCCAAACATATAGTAAATGTTTAAATTTTTAAATTATAATAAAAGACACATTGCCATTAATCCCCCTCAAAATACTCCCTTTTGCTTCAAACACACGCTTATCACATCATTCTTGCTACCTTCTGAAGCAGTTCTGAAAACCTTTCATCTTTAAAAGCAGTAATTAAAAAAATACACCTTACGTGAATGTGGCTACAGTGTTATCCAACAGAGAGGCAGGCTTGTAAAAACATCAGTATCTGTCATCATCCACTTTATTCACTGGATGTGGCACTGTGTGACTTCAGGCTCTCCCCCAAAGTTAAAATGACCATGAGAGGTAAATGTTTCAAATAGAGTTAAGACATTAAGGCAGCTATGACAGCCCAAGAAAATTCCAAAAGTGCTTCAGAAAGTGGCAAGAGAGAGAGGGTAACTGTGTACAAAGTGAGAGGACATATTTTGATGGAGATTCATGGCGATGTGCTTTTTACTGTAGTAATTTTTTAAATTTAAAACACTCCTGTATTTTTCATCACCCTCATACAGGTCAAGATAAGGTCATGGTGTGAGATGCACAATGAGAAATCGTGGGCAGAATGGGACGTGGGAATTAGTTACCACCTGAAGGAGAGGCAAGCACAGTGAACTGCTGGTGAAAGGTCAAAGTCACTGCAAACGAGGTACAGGAGAAACTAAAAGTCCTTGTTTCGGCTGGACTTGGTACTTTTCCACATAGATGTTCTAGTCGAGGGTAAGTTACAATCACAAAGAACTCAGGGTGGCTTCAGTCTTTGACGAATAAGCAAAAGTAGTCATGAGGTTGTTCAGCAGATAACTGCAACAGAACTAACAAAAACCTGATTCAGGAAAAAGAACCTCAAAGGAGCAGAGATTCAGGGAAGAAAACAGGATGAGAAATAATGGTGTTAAAGAGGCAGGAAAAAAAATAAAGTTGGCTTTCGAGGCCCTAGGGTTTAAACTACACATGAAGCAGAGTAAGAAAGTGAAAAAGCACTAGAAAAACTTTTAAGAACCACAGAAGGGTTGGCTTTCCATGAAAAACAGTTCCTAGAGTTACAGTAAAGGTAAAGCAGAGTGAGGAGACAAGGGGATACTTAGGGCCCGTATCAGTGTGAGGATGGTGGTGGTGGTGGTGGTGGTGTGTGTGTATGCGTATCAGGGAGGGAGGAAATGCCTTAACTGAGCAGAAAAAGCAAAGGAAATATGGTGGATTTTGGCTTCTGTCCTAAGGGCAGGCAAAAAAGGAGGACAATATAAAGCATACAAAGTCTCTAACCAGGCTCCAAGGGACAAATTCCAAAGTTCCACCAAACTTCATTTCTAACATCTTCCAGCCACATTCCTGAAAAAGTTTCCTACCCCATTTACACGGTTAGTACAAAGAAACACTGAAATTGAAATTCTGACTTTTTAAAAGTGGGTCATACTGATATAAAAGGTCTCTAACATACAGAAACGTCAGTATGACTGCAAAATGTCTGAGGAAATAATATTTTTTGGTGATTCTTATTTATAGGACTTCAAACACTAGATGCAGCATTTCAAAAATCTGATTATGTGAAAGGAGAGAGACCAGTATTATGGATCTGGTTATGGGGGGTGGGAATTCGTTTGGGAGGCATCCCTTTTAAAAATTTAATAAAAATTATGGAATATTCTTGACGAAAAAATATACACCTAAAATTCTGCATGCTATTTCAACGAGTTCAGTTAAGTCCAACTCTAGAATTCTCTCTTTAAGGCTCAGGCTATTTTGAAAACAAGTTCATTTATATTCGTAATATTATTCCCGGGCAAAGATAAAAATCTGCATTCACTAAGTTATCCACTGAGCTATTGTTTAGAGCAGTGTGATACATTTCCACTTATCCAACTACATTATAGTCATCCTCAACTAGCACAAGGCTGGATGGGAAGTAAACTCTGACACAGGTCAGAAATGAACTAAACTAAAATGTGAGTATTCAAATCCTACATCTTACTGAAAAATGTAAAATGTTCACTATATCCACTCATTCTTTTCAATCAATAGGAAATTCTTTTACTACAATAATAAAGAGTTCTAAGAAATAGAGTACTATGTTTTCAGTGAGTACCAAAATACAGCAGCAGGACATGAGTACTGGATGGAAAATAGGAAGGTTGGAATCTGGTCCCTGTCCTGCCACAGATCAGCCGTTACCTGAGAGCAGTTCATTTCACTAACTTTAGTATTCTCTGAAGGTTTTGTAGTTTGGGTTGTTTTAGGTGAGGATGGCAGTGCTTGGGTTCAACTCTAGAGCACCATGTACCATACCCCACCTCTCCTCTGATGTTTTATATGACATAGTTTCCACTTCATAAAATGAATTGGATGACTTGTAGGTCTGTCAATGCAGATATCTACAACTCTCAAACCACTAAAATGTCTATAAGTGAAACAGGCCACTGTGATGTAAAAGTAAAATGTGCCACGCCAAAAGAAAATTATCAATGTCTTCCTAAAATCAAGCAAAATATATCAGTCAAGTCATTCTCACCAGAAAGATACACATTCTGAAGATTTATATATTAATCAGTCTCTAGTATAATAGAGAACTACTTATCTGTTAGATTTTTCATCAGACAAAAATAACCATTTCCAATTGATCAAGTCTAGTCCACTTGTTTTATAGACTAATAAACAAGGAGCAAAGAATTTACAACACAATCTTACCTTAACGGCAGGGCCTACACCTACACCAAATTACCTTCCTGCCTGATAAATTTCCATTTCTCATACTTCAGTAAACTCTGTAACAAAGCATAATTCGAAACTCCTGCCTTGAGTCCCTAGCGGCTACCCATCGCTGAGCTGCTTCCTCCAGAGATCCACTGCTTGCTTTCTGGGGCTAGCATCCAATTACAAGAGCCTATGTTTTTCTCTTGAGCATGAAATGATTTAGGTCTCTTGAAGATTTTCAATATATATCCCTTTGTAAAGGATGCAAAACTAACTCTCTACAGCATCACATAATTGGTTCTTGTGAATTTCATGAAATCCTCCGCTTGCATATCCACATGATGAACTCCTTTCTGACTCATACCATCTGTCTTTAGGCACAGTAAATATGAGACTACTTGCTCTTTATGGACAGGAAGTACCTTCTCCACATGTTTACACAGTCCACTGCACATGTCACACTGCTCTAACTATAATAAGCATTCAATAAATACAATTTAATTGCTAACACCTGTGGGTTTAAATTCTGAAACCACAAGTTGAGCACCATTGCCTTGACAAGTTATCTAAGACCTCCTCCAGGTACTAACCTCAAGTTACTGTTTTTCCCTAACTTTGCACATTATACCAACCACCTCCTAATGTTTGGCAATGTGAATTCTAGAAGAAAACCTGGTCCTTGCCATTGGCACTGTCCATGCTCCTTCCAGGTGCTTCACACATCTTTACCTTCACGTAACTATGCGGACACTTAGGGGAGCTGATCTGCCAGGAGCCATACATCCCTGGCCTGTGACATAGCCAGATTTTTTAACGATGTTAAGTCACACAGTGGCTAATCTCAAAGAGCTTGTATGCTATTCTGAGACACAAGCTGCAGACATGAGTACATAGACAAGAGAAATTCCAAATATGTATCTGAGTAATTATGAAAGGTTTAACAAGCAAAATGTGATCTGACTGAAACTTAAACGAAGAAGAAGGAAAAAATAACATTAGAAAAAGCAAATTTATGGATGAACAGGACAAAAATTCTGAGAAAGCCTAGGCAATGATGAATAATTGAGGTTTTGAATAAAAGGCCTTTGAAAAAAGATCTCTTGTAGACTTTTGTTCAAGTATTCTTTTCTCATTTAATAAGCAGAAAATTTAAAAAGTAGTATTTCATATTTTCAGGAAAGATAATTACCAAAACTGTCCAGAAATAAGGATGGCCAAATTAAATTACATTAAGAAAAAATTAATGGAAACTTACATGTGATAATGGTGACTTCCCCATAAAATGTTGCCATGTCTTACCAGTTTGTACCTCCTGTGCTTTTGCTAAGGCACTTCCCAAGCTTTAAACCTAAGATCCATTTCTATTCTACAGATATCTTCTACCCAGGAGTAACCAATTTTGTGTGTGTGTGTGTGTTTGTGAATACATGTGAATGGTGCTGGGGATTGAACTCAGAGCCTCTTGCATGCAAGGCAAGAGCTCTACCATTGAGCCACATCACCAGCCCCATCAGTTTTAGCTAGACTGCAACGTCTACAAACCTCAGGCTCTGTGTAAAGAAATTTTCTTTATACAGTATTTCAGAGACTGGGTTTATCCCATCTGCATAATGTACCATCTGCTTACAACAGAAGCTACAATACACATTGTATCTATGAAGTCTTAAAAAATATTCTCAAACAGAACTTTAAAAAGCCAAGAGTTTTATTCTACAGAATTAAATATCACTGTCCTTATATCATCATCCTTGGAAGAAAAATCAAAAATATTTGCTGAAGTGGTCACTCAGTTCATGTTCACAGCATGGCTTGAAAATCTGGTGTTCTTGTCAAATGTCATTTTAAAAAGTTTTAAGAGCACAAAACAAAAAGGTAATGATCTGTTAATACAAATCCACTGAGACGGGGGGGGGTGTGTCTCAAATGACAAAGTTCTTTTGTATTATAAATGTGAGAGAATGACCAGTAAAACTTTAAGAATAGGTTCTGAGCTACCAGATATTAAAACCCCATGTAAAACTGGAACAAATTAAAACCAGGTAATGGCATGAAAAGACCTCAATAAATTAGAACAGAGCACCTTTAATAAGTGTATCAATTATTAGGAATACATTTGTGTCTATTATAAAGGTAATAATATGAATTATGTACATGAGAAGATAGATATAGATTATATATACTCAGAAATTCAGTATATGCAGAAGGGTTTCATATCAGTTGGAAAGTGTTTTTCAACTTATTGTACTAGAAATAATGGCAATTCATTTAAAGAAAACATGTACCACATATAAATTCCTTACTGATTAAAGATATGAATACAAAGTAAAAAAAAAAAAGTACATTTATACTCTTCAGGTATGGAAGACTGACAAACCTAACATTAGAAATTTTTCCCTGATTAAAGACACCACAAGCATAAAACAAAAAAATAAAAATAAACAAAACAATGCAGTGAAAATAAATGCAAGTGGCTAATAAATATATACCAGTAAGGGGAAGGGTGGACTCAGAAAAAAAAAGTAGATGAAGATTTACTGAGTGCCAGTCTCTTGCCCAGCATACACAAGGCCCTGGGTGTCATCCTCATACCACCATAAATAAATACACAAGCCAATAAATAGGTCAGGTCACAAACACAAGTCAAGAAAGAATGGCAGAGGAAGAGAAGAAATGAATAAAGAAGCAGATAGAAGGAGGAAAGTAGAGATACCTAAGTATTTCTGCCTTTTTTATGAGCATTTAGTGTTGCCAAGCTGAAAGAGGAGAAAACTGCTGTTCATCACAATTGGCAAGAGCACAGCGTGGTACACTTTAGAAAAAAAAAATTTGCTACAATCAGAATTTTACTATGTACACTATACTTCTAAGAAATGTGGTTTATAAAAGTATTAACACTACTGTACCAAAATAATACAAACGAGATTGTTTACTGTGGTGCTATTTATAGCGGCAAAAAAAAAGTGCGCGTACACCATAAGAGACAGAGAGCTGTTCTCATAAATTTCTAAAGGAATAAAGAAAAGAGAATACTATGAACATACTATCTTTTTATCAGGTAAGAATTTCATGATAAAATCTAGCCTGCACTCATCAGATTTTCCAAAAGCATTTTAGGCACTGCTGATATTATGCATGGGATAATTCAGTGCTGTGTAGGGCAGGCCTCTGTATTGTGAGATTTTTAGTAGTATTCCAAAAATGTCTCTAAATATTGATGAATGTCCATTATGATGCAAAAGTGGCTCCAGTTGAAAAGTATTGCTTTTATAAGGAAATAGAAAGGAATTAATTGCATAATACATAATTACATAAAACCATCATTCCAAATACATACCTCATCTCCTAAACTGATCCTCTTGCCCACAGATCTTCCTGCCTACAGAATTCCCAGCCAAGTTTGAAACAGAAAAATCATTTACTTCTAATTTTTCTTCTTGAATATTTTTGATCCAATTAATACTAGCTCTACTAATTTACTTTCATAAATAAAGATTGAGATCTGTTCTTTAGAACCACATGTCTATGGTACTGAATCTGGTGCCACTTGGCTTTCAATCTCTAGTTCAACAAACCATGTTCTACCTCTGTCCACAAGGCTTTTTATCAGTATCTCATTCACCTGCTAAAATATATCATGCTTTATACAGAAAAACTCCGCCATATAAACTTCTTTATAATGTGATCCTAATTTACCTTTTGAGGACACATCTTTTTCTTGCTATTCACAAATAGACTGTTTTCTAGGTACATGGCTATGGCTCATGAAATCTCTATGTACTATTCAAATGCCACTACCCTCATGAAAATTGTTTTAATTTTATTAAAGGAAAATTTTATTAATAACACAAGGGAACAAAGACTTCTTAATAATGCAAGAACTACAAAGGCCAGCTTCAACACTATATAATCAAAGATTCTTAGGTTCACTTCCACAAAGATTTACTGAGCCTGAGAGGCAAAGATCACAGACTTGTTTCCTCTGTTTACCTGGCAACAGAATACAGGACACGTAAGTTTACATCTTCCATGATCCCCCAGAGAAACCCTAACAACCATGCCACATCAAAGCCTCCAACTTACCAGTTACTCAGAAGTTGGCAAGTAAGTAAGATACAGACTCTGCTACTACACACCGAGTTTGAAGCCAGGCCTTGCCCCGTTGGCCTCAAGTGAATCTAACTTTCCCTGAACCAAGATTCCTTACCTATAAAACAGTAACAGTCACTACTAATCAGACGCTTGGTGAACTCAATGAGTTAACTTACATAAAATGCTTAGAGAAACATCAAGCATACACTTAGTTTTCACACCACCAACAGAAAGCACAAATCTGTGCCTCTCCAACTTCATCAAAGTATCAACTTCCTTCTCTTTCCTCATTTGCTAAAAGGGAACCTACAGACACAGTTACTCTCTACAACACTGTGCTAGGTTTTAGGACAAACGGATCAAAGAATAAAACATAATTCAGACCCTAAAAGGAATTCCAATCTTAAAGGAGCTACCACATACGCATTTTCATATTTCAACGTGAACTGCAATGATAAAAGGTACTAATATTAGAAGAAAGAGGGAAAGGTCCTTTAAAAGATTCCTAATAAATCTTGGAGAAAAAATAAGGAAAAGGGGATCAGGAACAGGGAGCACGACACTGAGATATAGGGCAGGAGAGACACAGCACAGCAGGTAACTTATTCGGGGCCCTGCATAACATTTACAGCATTTGATTTTGTAGTATAAAGTCTGAGTGAATTATATTGTACACTTTACAGAATAAAAAAAGGATCGAAGAGGCAAGTTTTAAGGGAGTGCATTTAGAAGACTGTTATACAAATGTATGTAATTATATGGATTAACCTAAGAAACGAAGGAGAGAGGGAAGGTAGTATCAGAAAGTATTATATGAGTTGGCGGGTGTGGCTCGATGGTAGAACACTTGCCTGCTGTGTGCGGGAGCCCTAGTTTTCATCCCTCCCCATGGGAGATTAAAAAGATGCTAACAAATAAAATCTGGTATTTGGATATGTGAATGAATGTTGGGGGTAAGAACAGTCCACAGAATTTCTGCCCAGGAATAGAGGCGGTAGCATTAAAAAGTATAAAAATGCAAAATACCTTGCAGGGAACTCAGTTTGCTGGTCAAGATCTCTTGCTTCTTACAGAATCCTTTCACTCACTACAAAATTATAGCAAGCCATAGAACTCTATTTGCATTTTATGAAGCACTATCTCAAGTCTGCATAGTTTTTCAAGTTAACTATATGTTCTTGCACAGAGGACACAAAGATAAGCAACACTTTCAAGGTAGTATTTTCACAGGTGCAATCAAAATCAAGATAAGATAGAAAAAACAATGAAGACAGGGAAGTTAGGAGAATTTTGTAGACCATAGGAAATGAAACAAGCATGAGAGAAAATACAACTGAACATGGCTATGATTTAAATGTTAGGAATGTTTAAAAAACAGTAACTTAAATGACTGCCAAGACACTAATCCACTGCTGTTAAATACTTTCACTGAGGATCTCAGATTTTAGGATATATAGATTAAATCCACAGAAAACAGTAAGATAATCATATTTACAGAAGATATGTGAGAGCCATTAAAACACTTAAAGCAACTCAGATCTAGAGAGCTTGTAGAAAATAAAGGGAGAAAAGACAACCACTAAAGAAACTAATATTCAATAAAGAAGGAAGCAGAAAATAATACTCCTCCCCTATGAAGTCCTTGCATGGAACTAAATTCATACATCATGCAATTTGAGGCCATATTTTTAGAGGTGATTTGAGCCAGTACATCATTTCACAGGTGAAATTTTAAGTAAACTTCTAAGATCAGTTAGCCGATTAATAGAACTTTTGCTCTTGTTTTCTCCCAAGCTGCTTCCGGGGCATCGCCTCCTGCACATCCCTGTGTCTTCTGGCTGCACCTCCTCAGGTCATGGGGAGGTAGTGTTCCCAAGGTGACTAAGCAAGTGAACTGTGTGCAAAACAGTGCTCATCAAACAATGGAAAAATGAAAATGCTTTGTCCAGATCACATTCTTTAAGTTTAGTGAAGATACTCACAATAGATACCCCGATACGTCTACAAGATATCACTAAAATTAGTTATTTTGATTAGATGTTTGTATTTCAAAATCTCCTAAGAATACACTGGACATGGTTATAGTTTAACAGATCATTATCTGCTTAACAAAGCAAAGATTTTTGTTCAACAGAATTTTAATTTTCATTGGAAAACTAAAAAGCTAAGCTATTCTGCCTCTAAACACCTGGCACTGTCTTCTGCTTATGCTGATTTTTAAGAGCTGAGAAACCGTATATCACAGCATACATAACAATCGTAAACTGCTTTAAATACCAGCTCCAAAATGATATGCCTTGAGTATCAAGGCCTCTGATGTTTATCTTCATGTAATGTTTTTCTGTATTATAAAATACTGTAGTAGTGCCTTCCCTGTCCAATCAACCTGAGCTCTCAAACGTTATATTTTTATA